TGCGGAGCTGCGTTTCATTCCTCTTTATTCAATCGTTAGTGAAAGAATTAGCAGCCGGGCAATAATTTCAAGCGGTCTTCAAACGGCCAGTAAATGCCCTAAATCTGCTCTCACTCTGAGCGAGCGCAGGGTAGGCTTCGTTTTGCACTTTGGATTTCTTTGGGTTGTGGGTGGCACCAAAAACAGCAAGAAAATATTATGCGGGACTGTTGTGCGTGTGACTTGTGTCATCCCCTGTCTCATTTCGTGCCTCCAGGCTGCGGGGACAGCGAGGCACCGAGGAACCAGACCCAGGTGGAAGTGTGACTGCGGCTGCACGAGTGTGTGGGCTGGAGAGAGTTTTAACGTTGGCACAGAACAACGTTCTTGGAAAAGAAACAACAAAAAAAGGAAGATAATTCCTGGGGAAGAGCCAAAAGGCTTGTTCCGTCTCAGAAAAAACACCCGGGTTTGAGTGAACTGTCGGTGACCTGCTCAGGAACAGCACTAACACCCTGCCCCTGAGGGGAGAGCGCAGCCGGGGCTGCCCCCATCAGTGATTTCAGCTCATTTTGTAATTAGATCATTCCCAAAGAGCTAAAGCCCGGTCAGAGCCGCAGGGAGGATGAGAAGCGGTGTGGAATGACAGAGGGCAGAGCAGACATGTCCCAGGGTGGGACTCCTCACCCAGCGCCAGGGGGTGAGGAGTTCCCTCACCAAACCCTCCCCACGGCACGGGGGAGCAGGAAGGGACACCCCACCCTGGCTGGAATCCTGCTGCTTTGCCACAAGTTGTCCTTCTCTAAAAGAAACATCTAAATGCCATGTGGTGGTGCACCAAATCTGAGCAGCACTGAGGGTCATGAGTTTGACTTTTAGGTTTGGGCACCTCAAAGCAGGTCCCTCGGTCAATACATGAGGGACTGAGCATCACAGGGGCTTGCTCCGACCTGATGTCCCCCTGCCCGGGCTGCTGCCCCGTGTCCTACAGCACAGATCTCCTCACCCAGCGCCAGGGGGTGAGGAGTTCCCTCCCCAAACCCTCCCCACGGCACGGGGGAGCAGGAAGGGACACCCCACCCTGGCTGGAATCCTGCTGCTTTGCCACAAGTTGTCCTTCTCTAAAAGAAACATCTAAATGCCATGTGGTGGTGCACCAAATCTGAGCAGCACTGAGGGTCATGAGTTTGACTTTTAGGTTTGGGCACCTCAAAGCAGGTCCCTCGGTCAATACATGAGGGACTGAGCATCACAGGGGCTTGCTCCGACCTGATGTCCCCCTGCCCGGGCTGCTGCCCCGTGTCCTACAGCACAGAAGGAGTCCCCATCCCATCGGGATGACAGGCGATGTTGTTATTTCAGCTTAAGTCACAGGACAGTATCCGAGTTTGAATCCAATTTCCAGACAGACTCATTCAGGAGCTTCCAAGGATCACCTGCAGGTTCCCACCCGTGCCAGCAGAAGACAGAAGTCATTGGCACAGACGTGGACAAACTGCATGGTGACCCAGAACGGGTGGGACTCCTTCCAAATTCATTGTGAAGATTCTTCTAGAGTTTGACTCCCTCCTTTAA